AGTGGCTTGAAGAGCGGCTTATAACTCCTTACACCCATGTGCATCAAATTAGGTGCTGGCTGTCTGCTCCGAACAACCCTTGAATCGAGAAAAAAATATCATTAAAATCCGACAACGTTACCATATAGCTGCTATAGGAAAGATCGAAAAATCTGTATAAAAATGTGGGAAAAAAATTATAACATCGTTGTTTTTCATCAGACAAGCATTTTTGGAAAATAGAGTTTTCTAACTACTCTTGAATTACATATTCAATTTCATCAAAATCGGACAACTATATCATATAGCTGCCATACGAACAATAGTCAAAAATATAGAAAACTAATAGAAAAATCTTCATAGTTTCGATGTTGTTTAGCCCTTATGCATTTTTATCGACATATTTGATGACTGCAAGGGTATATAAGCTTCTTCATGCCGAAGCTAGCATCCTTTATTGTTTATTGCATACTATGGTCTCGAATTTAAGCATGCTTTTATTTGACACTAGAGGTCCTGTGTCCGCTTCGCTGGTCAACACAATTTAACAACATAAAAGCCAATGTTGCAACATTTTTCAAATATAGAGTATAGGAAGATGGTGATTTAACACTTTTCCAGTTTGACTTTTCCACTTGCGCAGCACAATCCAGCCGATTCTCTTTTAAACTTCAACGCACTACAATATCGGTATATTGTCGCCATTGGTCCAATATCTTAATTTTCAATATCACTGTAGATCGCAGTGGGGTCATATTGGAATGCCAAGCGATTGAATGATGCCAATGATCTCCATGTGCTCATTTGTCTTTCTTCGCTTAAGTTTTGTGAATATACTTGTTGCTGGCTTGGATGTCTGCGGCCAATGTTTGCACGTCGTCCTTTAAGCATTTTGGACTATGGACAGAGTGGTGAATTTATCCTCAAATGCACGATCCACATAATTTTCACAGTTCAAGTTAAATTGAATAAAAATTCTTTTTTTTCACAATTTCACAGTGAACACAAAAATTGAGTTAAAATGCTATGGGAGCGTGTTTGTCTGTGTGATGAGGTAGCAACTCACTTTATATGCGACAATATTGCAATTTTCTTACGGATCCCTAATTTTTTTCAAAATAAATTATAGCCTATTTAACTCCACGATAATATAGCTTTCTATCGGTGAAAGAATTTTTTAAATCGGACCAGTAGTTCCGGAGCCTATTCGCTGCAAACAAACAAACAAACAAACAAATTTTACCTCTTTATAATATTAGTATAGATAAAAGTGTCGACATCTCTTTTAATGTCAGACTATTTTCCCCGATTACCTTTTTCAGATCGTGTTTCATGGATTTAACTCCAGCTTTCCATATTACTCCGAAGTGAGGTCCTGCCGGGGGAATAAAATTCCAAGCTGCACTGCAATCATTGTGTTTTCCTTAATTGTCTAAACTAGATCTTGATCTAACTTTCTTGAAGCTCCTACAAAATTTTTTACGTTATCGGAGTAGATGTTTGCACATTTACCTCTTGTAGCAACAAATCTACTGAGCGCCGCTAAGAATACTTCTCTCGGTTACATCACTACCCATTTCTAAATGAATGGCCTTGGTGGACATACAAACAATATATCCCTTGTAAGTTTTTATTCCATGATTGTTGGAGCTCTTAACGAAATATGGACCTGCGTAATCTATACCAGTGTTTAAAAATGGGCACGACATCGTGGCTCTGTATTTAGGCAGATTACCCATTATTTGTTGAGCTGCATTTTGCATGCACTTCGAGCACTTGACACACTCTCTTAAATACTTTTTTAATGCATTTTTTAGCCCGAAAATCCCAAACTTCCTTTGAATATAGTTTGGCATTAGATTTATACCTCCATGAAGAGTTTCTTTATAAGCATTATTTATTAATAAGTTTGTTAAGGGGCACTTGTCTAAGATTATTGGGTGTCTGCACAGGAGTTTTGAAGTCTTCCTCTGACACGAAGTATACTATCCTTATCCGACTCGATTGGTAAGACTGAACAAACAGACGCCAACGTTTTGGCGCTATCCCCATCGTTGGCTCTTCCCAATTGAGATACTTTTACTTTTGGCCCTGTGGCTCTCATTCCCCTTTTCCTTTTTGCCATTCCACGGTTCCTCCACCCTAGGGATTGGTGGTAGGTGGCACCACTATTCGATTTTCGCAGCGACACATGCAAGCGTAATAGGTTTTAATGGAAATAAAAATTATTCCGTTGTATTTCGAAAAACGGTAGTTACATTAGTAGCAGAACATTAGTGGCCAATATAATCATTCCCGTATATAGTGCAGATTCTGATGAAAATCACTGTACCAATACCATTGCTTATAAAAACGACTTGATTCAGCCGCTCGCATTTGGTTCAACGGTGAGGCTGATAGCTGCTGTTTCACTGTACCTTTTTTCCAGAATCTAAATAGGCAATATCTTGTTGTACATCGTGAAAAAATTATAACCTCAAACTAAAATAATAAAAATAAAAGGAGTTACATTTGGGTGAGCTATAGAAAAAAATCAACTTTTTCCTACGAAAAAAAAAATACATTCTTTCACTCCACCCGGGAGCATACAGCATACAGTTTTTATAGAGGATGCAATAATCTTTGATTTTCGATCGCACCGGTGATTAACCAGTAGCGAGTTATCTTAGCGGTGGGGTTGCCACCTGGCGCCATCTAGGAGTTACGAAAGTTCTATTATTGTGTCCATAGTAACGTGGGCGAGGGGTTGTGCGGGTCCGGGGAGCCGAAATTTGTTATTACTGTTAAGTGAGCGATAGAGCATAGAAGTGGTGGAGATTTTGAAAAAAATACCGTTTCTTTTTCTCTGGGAGCCTGGGATTCGAGCCCGGGCCTTCCGGATCAGAGACCAGCGCTCTACCTGCTGGTCCACCGACCCCCCATACGATTTAAAAGTGACAATTCTGATAAAAAAACAGAAATAGGAATGTTCTGTAGTGCCTTTAAATGAAGGAAACAATGTTGCAAAGAGGGAAAAATCCAGCTTCCACCTTTCCACCTATTATCATACGCTCTTTAGGCTTTTTAAAAGATTATTTGTACGAATGTGCAACGGTTGGGGAAGTCGATCTATTGGTAATGGAAATAGTGTTTACAAAACGTATTCATTTGGTCGAAAATATTTATAAGACTGTTTATAGGCGCGCTTTCCCCTTAGACTTTACTTCTGCCAAGCTAAATCAAATAAGAAATACTTTACCGAAACAAGTAAAATATTACTTAAAAAAACACCGGTAGCACTCCGGGAGTGCCGGCAGAAGTGAAAACTTCAATATTAACGTTGTGTTTAGTTATGAGTATAAAAGTACTATCATTTATAAGAGAGGTAGAATACAATGTTTATTTATTGCGCTATCGTACACAAATATGGCAATTTATATGTTGTTATTTATAATATTATATCGTTATTTATATATTACATTAAATTTTATCTCTCAGAAAAATCAACTTCCATCCATAATTTCGACGACTTTTACACCATAGTTATTATCAGAAATCATCATCGCAATCATCATTGCAACTGATACAATTGGTTTATGATTGGTTATAACTGAAGTAAGAAACAAACAGTTTTGATTCGAACCTATTTAAGTGTAAGTACAAGGTAGTCTCGTCGGCTTTTTTTTCCCCCTATTGGGCACTACAATGAGTGCGAGTGTGAGGGTGTTTTCCAGTAAGTGCGAAAGAAACAGAAGAAGATGATGTCGTTTTACCCTTATGCTGTGCACGGGGTTTAAAAAGGACTGTGATATGACCATGAGTATTAATTTTTCCGAAATTTTCGGTTTTTCCACAAATCTGCCCTTCAGGACTTGCTCCCATATTGTTCACATTTCAAAATATTTTTCTGCAATATTACATGTTACGCCTTGTATGTGCTTGCTGCAATAATTGCAACAAGTATTTTTCACAAGCACACAAGGGTTAACGTTTTGAGAAAAAATCGTCCGCGGACAACCTCTCACTTCGAAATCCCGAGCGCACTGAACCATAGGGGGAAAAAACCCGAGCGATTTTGCAGCCGACGAGACTATAATTGTACCATGACTCAGGCACGGTAGAAAGAGTGGGAGATATTAGTTCCTCTCCCTTTCCCACGATCTTACGCTTTTTCGATCAGCATAACGGGACCCTGACGCGAGTTTAAATGTTTTTACCCTGCTCAGCGCCGCTAAAAAAGTTTTCACTTCAAAAAAAATTAAGAAAGGATGAATATTTCCTAACGGAAGAACAAAAAATAATATATATATAATATTAAAAAGTCTTCATCGCAAAACGCTGAAAAAATGTCTATGTCTTGGCAATTGTATTGAATTTGTTATTAGCAAAAGGTTTTCAGAAGAAAAATATAGCATTTGATGTTCCCTTCTCAGGATTCGGATTTGATAAATGAAGAAGCAGCATGGTGCTTGTTATCAAAACGGTCTAAGAATCTACATTTTTGTTTGGGACTAATGTGAAATAGATTCGTGGTAATAACTTTTTAATGGTAGAAATTACAATTTTATTATCTGGAGATGTTTGACAAAAACTAACCATAGCAAGGACAGATCAATTGTGAAATTCTGTTTAAAATCAAAATAAAGCAATAAATTTTTCACAAACCTTACTGAGAGTTGAGAACGGTGCTTTAAAGAACAATCACAAAAATTGAAAAACAATAACTAATAGTGTATAAATAGTTGCTCTTAGCAATTTAACAATTTTTTTACAGTTTTAAATATGTGAAATTAAAAATATTTAGATCGGACGACTAAAATATTTACCTGCTATAAAAATGCAATAAATATTGGAAATTTTTTTTTACTTTATATGTTTAACAATAGTTGCACTATCCTCATATGTAGCTGACATTGTAAGTATGTGATGAATCTCTTACAGTGAAGAAAGGTTTTAACTGATACTAGAGCTTTGAAAATAACGTAAATATTATAATGTCCTAATATGCTAGCTTTTTAAATTCTCGATATCTCGAAGGTTATATGAACGGACAGATAGTGGGATTATTTTGAGTTTCGTAGTTTTTACATTTCTAATCAATAACTATGTTTTTCTATACTTTTATAGTTTCGATCTAAAACGAATAATTTGCGACAACATAGTGGAAGTAAAGCATATTTGTATGATGAAAGCAAGGACTCTAATAACAAAGACTTTAACTCTCATCCAGTAATTAAGCTTACAGCAGAGCTAATTGTTTTGCTCACATTTAGATTAAATCGCCTATCAAGAAACTATCGGTTTGTCCACAAAGTGCTTTCAGCTGAAAAAAAGACCTTGCAGGAAATAAGTGTTATGAATCGTCTAGGATTGTCAAACATAGCAGCAATGTTTACGTTTTTAAACAAATCTTTAAATAGGTGAGTAAAATGTTATCCTTGTAACTTATAAAAAATTTATAATTTTTAATTCCGATTTTATTTTAATAAACCCAGTAAGCCTAAAAGAGATTCAGGAACGAATTTTATGCCACAAAGTGAGGACTTCACTAGTCTTGATCACAATGACTTCGTCCAAATGTTAATTGCTATGTGGTATGCACTAATTGCTAATACTGAGGTAATATGCTACTTGACTGTATTTCTGAATCAAGCAGCCAATTCGTCTATGATTTCATTACCAATGCCGTTTTTGGTACTTTGTTGGGGTGCTTTAACATTGCCAAGACCAACAAAAACTTTTTGGGTTACTTTAATTACATATACTTTGGCGATGATATTTTTGAAATCCATTTTGCACCAAAGAATAGTAGTTGAGCAACAATTATTTAATAAATTAAACACTTTAAGTATGGAACTTATCATGAAGCATGGTAATGCTGTTTACGATCTACTTTTACTTGTTGTACTTTTTTGGCATCGATACATGCTGAAAAAGCAAGGCATTTGGACAATTCAACGGACAAACTCTGAACTACTGTTACTGGAAAATAGTCGCAAGTTTTAAATTTCAGTTAAATTAAACAATTTTTAAGATTCATTTTATTTCAGCTAACCATTTTAGACGAAGACAAAGTACAGAGAGACCAGAAGATATTCTTGATCATTTAAGGTAAGTTATTGACAAAGAGGAAACAATTTTTTATTGCACCCTTCCAGAGGGTATTATAATTTCAGTCAGAAGTTTACAACGTATGTAGAATATAACGAAGAACATATTATATTTTAAAAACCAATCTGATGGATGTGCATTCCTACTTTCAGAAAACTCGCTTGCTTTTCGGCTCAGTAAAGTCGGTTCAGTATATAGACAACAAAATTTGCACTAGGCTGATTGCTTGTAGTACTCGATAATTAATTAAAAGTCTCGAAAAATATACAATCCATTAATCAATGTTAGGGAGCGAGATGTAAAGAAGGTTAGATAGGATCATAGGAAAACAAACAAATATATCTGTTCGCGCCAGAGCGGCGCTTTCCAGTCCTTTTTGAACCGCCCCTGGAGTCTTAACAGTCGTGAGAGCAGTTCTTCCAGATCACTTGCATCTCGCTCTCTGGCACTGTTAAGGGTCTCCAATCCGCTCTCGGAGCGGCTCAAAAGTTTCCACCCCGTAGCTTAAGTTAGTTCTAATTTCCAAGTGTACCAGTGAAGTCGTGAAAATAAAGAGTGAAGTTTTTTTTATAACGTTTAACGAAAACTTTGCCCGCGTTTTTATTCCACCCGAAATTTCCAATAAGAAGGAAGGAAGACCCGCCGCCTACACCCCAACATTTTGGTCCTTCGAGCCGGATTTTCAACAACTACCAGCGACCACACCGGCGGAGTTTTTTAAAGTTCAAGATAAGTACGAATTTTCCATATTTCCGTGGCCGACCAGTCAGATATTTCCCAGGATCCCAATTTTCTTATATCTGTCTGATCGGCTAATTCCATTTGTGCATACGATCGCCATATTCCGGCTTCTTTTTCGTATTGCTATTTCCACCTTTATACGATCGCCATATTCCGGCTTCTTTTTTTCGTATTGCTATTTCCACCTTTATACGATCGCCATATTCCGGCTTCTTTTTTTCGTATTGCCATTTTCCGGCTTTGCTCTCCTTATATTTCCCAATTTACATACATACATAAACACATAAAATCCAGATGTATGCTTTTTAATGTACGTACATATGCTTGACGGTCTCAACATATGTACATAAGAAGAAACATTTACACACTTCTATTCGCGGTATATCCAGCTAACATTTCGAGAGCGACATTTACAATACAGTCCACATTATATACAATTTCCAAAATTACAGCAAAAAGTGCAAAGAGAAATAAAAATAAATCCGAAATTAAAATTATTTTGTGTGAGCAAAGATCTTTTCCAGTGTGTGTATTCCAAGTGCATTTACATAAGCAGCAAGCAAGGAACGAAAGCTCTGCATATGTGCATTGCATGCGTCCAGCATTAAAATCAAAGAGCAATAATATAAATAAAGAGTGTTGTGCGTGAGCTGGGGCAAGCATATTTTCGTTGCCCACTGTGTTTCATTCCAAGTGCTTTTGACATCCAAATATATATACATATGTACACGCACATATGTATGTCAAAGCCCAAATAATTATAGTGACACACATATCAATCCAAACACACATATCCATACATACAATCATATAACCCAAATGCATGCTTATTAATGTACGTACGTACATATGCCCGTAACGTAAGGCGGTATACCCATTTGGAACGCAACATTTACACATATGCCCGTAACGTAAGGCGGTACACCCAACAAAGATTTCAAAAGCGACATTTACAACATAGCCAATATCATTTATAATTTATAAATAAAATATAAAATATAATAAAAAACAATTTATTATGGTAAAATTGCGCTTTAGCGGCTTTTGCTAAAAATGGTCTAGGAATTTTTTTTTTTTTTTTAATGGATACCTTAGGGCCTAAACATTAATAAAAAAGTGGCGGAAAGCTTAAATTTTAATTATTTATGTGTTAAAATTGCAATTATTACTGCCGCGAGGCAACCCGTTTTAGAACATTGCCATGTTTTTCTAGCGAAAAACTTTACCGTTGAGAATGTGTTGTGGATGAAGAGTGCTGCAATTGTGTGAAAATTTAAAAACAAAAGAAATTTAACAATTTTACCATGTCAGGCACTGCCAATTTTACTACTGAACGCTGTAAAGGTTGCGAAATGACTCAGAGTGATTTTATAGTACTGAGTGAATACCCAGAAAAGCTATGGCCAGTTGCTTTTTTTGCTATTTTTACAAATAAATACTTAGAAATCAAGCTTTCCGCCACTTTTTTATTAATGTTTAGGCCCCAAGGTATCCATTAAAAAAAAAAAAAAAATTCCTAGACCATTTTTAGCAAAAGCCGCTAAAGCGCAATTTTACCTTTATTATATATTATATATATTGCAAAATAACCCGATTCCACCGAACACAATTTATTATATTATACATATTGGAAAAATATCCTGAGTCCACCGAACACAATTTATTATATTATACATATGGGAAAAATTTCCTGATTCCACATCAACACTATAAGCAACCAACTGCAAATATTTTGCAAAACATTTTTTGTCGAATTTTTTGATATTTTGCTCGCACATCAAAGCAGTGGTTTCAAAAAAAAAAAAAAACTTTTAATAGGTACAACTGTTCCGTTTCCACATATTCCAAAAATAGACCGGAGCTGCAACGCTAAGAACGAACACAAGCGGACCGCTTGCAATTGTCTATCACGAGGAATCGAAGCGGCCACTGCGCTTTATTAATTTTTTTGTTTGTTTTCTTGAATCAAAATCAAATTAATTCCATACGTTTTTTGTCGCGTCGCATACATTGACCTTGTTGACATTCCGCTATTAGAATTTTCGATATTTGGAGCCGCACCTGTATTGATCGGAAGTTATCGATTCCATCCTTCCGTTTCCTTTCAAATACACCCCGGTGATCCGCAACAGCGGAACCACATTCCAGTACAGACTTTTCCGGAGTGTCAAATTACCACAAAGCCAGCCAGGGTTGCCTAGTTAATCTGATTTCGGGAATGCCAGAAGACAAAACAAAGTTATCGGTTCCGTCTGCAAATAAAACGCGATCGCTATCCGCTTCTCCTCGCGCGCGCACCTCAAGCGCAGTAGTTCCGACATCAATAACCAAGGCAAAGAGCGAAACTTCATTAGACACCCAAGAGGGCGAAAAGAAGTTGTCTGTTCCTACGAGCAATCAGAAACGATTGTCGCTCACGCCTAAGGTTAGGTCACAGATCCAGACCAAGTCCGTAAAGTCGCTGGCAACTCGTTCTCAGGCAAAAATGAGCAACGACATTGCAATTGCAGCCCTCGCGCGGTTCATAACGGTGTCCGACCGCATGAGCAATTTCAGAGCGACCATAGAAACTCCAGGGCCGTCAGCTCCGTCCGTCCACACCTGCAAAGTCCGTAAGGAACAAGTCCGCTCACTCTGGGAAAAGGCCGAAAAATAATTCGAAGCGTGTCTAGACACGATTTCCAGCATTACGACTGAAGGAGCGGAGGAGATTCTGGCGACTCTGCATCGTAAATATGAATATTGCTATTCGGTGTACGAGGAGCTATCAGTTCGTCTCAGCGAGCTGATGGACCAAGCCACTCCGCAGCAGTCGACAGCGAGCACCAGTAATCAGTCCGCTTATATTTCGTCTGGGTGCCGGTTACCACCATGCGATACTGAAGTATTCGAAGGAGATTACCTAAAATGGCCAACATTTAGGGATCTTTTCACAGCAGTTTATGCCAACAATCCTAGGTTGACACCGGTCGAAAAGCTTTTCCATCTCAATGCTAAAACTAGCGGCGAGGCTAAGGCAATCGTAGCCAAGTCCCCTCTCACAAATGAGGGTTTCGACTCAGCATGGGCAGCGCTTCGAGACCGTTTCGAAAATAAAAGACTGCTAGTAAACAGCCAACTCAAACTCCTGTTTAACTTGGCGCCCGTCAGTTCCGAATCAGGCCAGGCTCTGAAAGATCTTCAGAGCACAATCCAAGGGTGTTTGGTCGCTCTGGCTCATTCCAAAGTTTCCACAGAGAATTGGGACTGTCTCCTGGTATTCCTGTGCGCCAGTAGATTACCAAAACTGACCCTCTCCTTATGGGAGCAGTCCCTTTTATCGAAGTCCGACATTCCGACTTGGGATGAGATGAACACGTTTCTTGGTGACCGATACCGAACGCTAGAGGCGATTGAGGACATGAAACCAAGTCACAGCAATCACTCTACCACTAAGAGTCAACCCGTCTCCAGGAGGCTCAACTCCTTCGAAGCTAAAGTGGTTTCCAAACCGAAGAATTGCGATCTGTGCTCAAAGGAGAATCATCCAGTCCGCTTATGCCAGCGTTTTCTCCAGATGTCTGTCGATGCGCGGACCAACTACATCAAGAAGAAACAGCTGTGCCTAAATTGTTTCGCGAGAGCCCATCAGCTACGTGAATGTACGAGCACTCACAGCTGTTTCACATGTCGAGTTCGGCATCATACGTTGCTCCATAAAGGCAACCCCAATTCCAGTGGGTCAACTGCCGGAAATAGTTCTTCTGTAAGCCCACAAAATCCAACTGTACAGAGGGCCGCCAACGCTTCAGAAAATCTGCCCGGTGTGCAGAATTATTTCGCAACCGGTGCCAGAGCGGTTTTACTAGGTACGGCCATCATTGACATTTGCATCTTGGGCACGAACTACAGGGCTCGCGCTCTAATAGACTCGGGTTCTGAGGCTACGTTTATTACGGAACGCCTGTTCAATTTAATTAAGCTGCCATTCCGCCTCATCCAAGCCCAAGTTTCGGGCTTAAATAAGATCATTTCCGCTCAGGCGACCAGGCTCTGCCATTTTTCGATTCGAGCTCCTAATAAGCCAGGCCTTCAGCTAGAAACCGCAGCTTACGTTCTGCCTGAATTGGCCGGAACGCTACCGTCC